TTCCTGTCTGCAGGCAAAAACTTTATTAAGTTTGGAAACCTTGAATTTTATGTGGAGGACAAACATATCAACATGTCAGGAGAACAAACAGTGCAGTCTGCCTTTCAATGTCTACAAATGTATGCCTACTTAGATGCTTGCCTTCCTACATATTTTCTACGCTGAGCGTTTATGCAAATACATTTATAAGCAGGTAGCACACAAATGCATAGATAAATAATATATCTCCGCCAAATGTACTCTTGGAAAGGTTTCTGAAAGCATCTTTTTATTTGTGTAAACCTTGCAATGAGATGCGTTCACTCTATTGTCCGTCCAATCAATGAGTTGATGAATAAAACTCACATCATTGATTGCTTTTAACGTGCTTTGTTTCAAAAACGATAAATACAAAATATTAATTTTAACAATGCTGGTCATATTTGTTAAGAATTTAACGCTTAGATAAATCAACCTGATTTTTTAAAACGCTGTAAACGGAGGTTGAATTGTTATAAGAACGCTGAACAGTTAACTTAGTGACACCAATTTTGAAATAATCCGTCCGAAGAAATAAAAAGTATTAAACACTTGAACAATAATCTATTCAATATTTCTTCAAATTTAACTCACAATGATAACAGAACACATGAACATTTCCATTGAAAACAATGCACCAGCAAACAGAACACAATTCAAAAAAGTGATCATCATCATCGTAATCATCATCATCATCGTAATCATCATCAGCAGCAGCTTGCATGGTCCAATAAAGGAGATTTGGTTGTGAGGGGTTGGAGCAAATTGAGTTATGCGCCAACCTCCAATCAATTTGCGCCTTAGAACATCATGATGAAAATAAAAGTCCAACTCCTTTCAGACACATAAACTCATCTATGAGAAGAAATTTATTCAGTACTTATGTAATATGTATTTTATATCACACATATATACACACATTTATATAAATATTGGATTATTATGAATATTTCTGACACATTTGTTTATATATATATATATATATATATATATATATATATATATATATTATTTGTTTCTGTATATATCAATATCACGATCGTTTAAGGAATCTGTCTAGTGCCTGTGCCTCGAAACTGTACAAATTGAGATTGATTAGAAGATCACTCGACTAGAGGTTGGCTGAATGTTTGATTCATATGTTTGTTGTAACAGTCTTTTTTATTGTCTGCTGTTCAAATCCATTGCGATAAACCAGAATCGAGTTGCAAAATCGGTTTTTGGTGCTGGAAGTAAATATATGAAGGTAAACATAGGCGTGATCATGTCACGCTTATATTTACAAGAGAATTAGTTTCAAAAATTCTGGCAATAATGTTCAAGTGTGTTGCAGGATGTGCACCAAAATACTTGCGTGACAGATATCTGCAGAGAGTCGCAACACTAGAAGTGGGTCAGCTATGATCAGGTCAGATGCATTGGATCTATCTTTTTTTCATACCACCTACCAGTTTAGATTGGCGAAAGATATTTTTTGTATGTGGACCTTATGTGTTGAATGGACTACCTGCTTGTTTATGTTTATTGAGTTTATCTTTGTTTAAAAACTGTCACAAACTTATTTGTATAAACTATGGTACTTTTGTGTTTATTTTTTGTTGATCTGATTTATCATTATTTACATTTTTTGAAACTATGACTTTTCTAATATTTTGCTTTGTTTTTCTGTAGGCGCCATTGAGATTGTGTTTAATTGGCGCCTAATAATCAGTTTTCGAAAATTTTTCGGCTATACATTTGCGGATGACATTTAGATGCTGATCATCCTAGTTATTTCAAAAGGGAATTTGACAAATTTATTAAGTGCTTTTTGGAAGTTCATCAGTGGTTGTCACGCAACTTACTAAAACTTGATCAATGCAAAACTCAGTTGCTTCTCGTTTGAAAATTGCAGCAGTTGTCAAAGCTTAGTATCAATTCCATTGCAGTAGACAACGTTAACATTCCGTCTTGATAGTGAAGCGGTCGTAGCCCCAAAATACGAATGTGGTTTGGTAGAATTCATACAATACTGTTAAACCACACTGCACTGAAGATGATTTGTGAAAAATCTTAATAAAGCCTATCCGCATGAGGAATTTGGATAACAACAGTTTTAATAAGTTTCCATAATGAACTTGGATGATAATTCTTCTTTCAATAAAATGAGCAATTTCCAGAAAATTCTAGTAAGAAAAATTAAAAAGAAAAACTTTAAATTGATTATTTCCAACAATTCGGTTGAATTCATACAATGCTATATAAATTATAGTCTCCTTCCAACATATATACATATTGTATCCCTATAGTAGTTTTTCCCAAAATTTGCTGTTGAATGCCTATAGTTTGAAGAAAAGTTGGCAACATTTTGAATGATCCAATGTCATTTACTGAGTTTTTTCACGTGAAAACAACAGTTTGTCAGTTTGTAGTAAACAAATTTTGACATTCGCCTTTGTGATAAGTTTTAATTTATTAAAAGCTAAAAATAATACATAAGATAGAAATAATACATTGCGAGAGCTGCAGTCCCAACTGGAATATTTAACTGAATTCTAGTTTACCAGTTCTTTTATGGGCTTAAAACTAGTTTCAACATATACAGAGAAGTAGCCAATGGGGGTCTTTGGCTACTCATCTGTATATGGTGAAATATATTACATTCGGATTGAAAATTGTCCGTAATTAATTATTTTCGAGGACCGAATGAATGATCGATGGTCTGATTTTTTATTTTTTAAGCTGTAAAATAAATTAGAAGCGGAAGAATAATTATCATTATTAATTATTATTTTATTATCATTTATACTCATTTATTATTTTTATATTTGTCATTTATTTTGTCTAATTGTTACCATTGTTGGAAATGTTTCTGCAACGATAAATTTTATTTCCAAGCACTGGACAGTTTCATTTTGGAATAATTTTTGTTGCAAGTATAAAAAAAATATTTAGAAACAATTGTGAGCATATTGTTAAAAGAATACTATTAATGCTAAAAAAAACAATTTCATTTATTAAACAATGCTATAGTTTTTACTAACAAATTGGTAATAAGAAACGTTACAAACACATGTAAAAGACGTGATTAATGACAAGAAAACATGAAAACAAACGATGAAGAGAAAATGTTTTTGTTCCTTTGAAACAAACAAGCCCTTAGAACCATTCTAAAAGACAATTATTAATAAAAGGGCCGCTATTTTTAAGCATTTCATGAGCCGAAAAAATAATGTTTTATTTTTTAAAGATGCGTTTGTCGGAAGAATTGGTTGAAACCAGTGAAGTCTGCAGCCCATTACACGCGTCTGTTTGTATTCGCACGATGTTCTTTCAAATGTTGGATACCAAATAAAGTTGGTATGCTATCAGCATATTACAATAATAAGAATGTGTTGCTGTTGTTGTTTTTCAATTATTTTTTGTATTAAGATCCGTAATGTATTCATGGATTAAATTCATGCAAGTGTTCACGAAATAAATTATTCTGCCGGCCGAATTAAATTAATTACTAAAAATGCGAATTTTATCTATTACCAATAAAAATATAAAATTCAAAGTTTTTTGTTTTGAAAACTAATAACAATATAAAAATGAAATTGAAACTGGAAACCAAATAAAATCACACGACCATGTTTTTAAATTCACGAACAAAGAATAAAAACTTTTACAGATGACGATGATAAATGATGCTTCATAAAGCATGCATTAGCGTAACAACCAACCAACAACAACAACACGTTGTTGCACTATTAAATGAATTAAGAAACGAAGTAGTATCGTGCAGGTTGAATGTTGAAGCAATTAGCACTCGTGATCCGATGATTGCATTGTTTGTTTTACAGCCTGGCATGAAAATATAAAACTCTTCATGTTGTTTTTCATTATAAAAACTTCTCGGCGATAGTAAGTCGGTTGGGAATGTGAGAATGCTTCCTCATTTCATCGTTTGTCGTCATCATATCCAACAACCCAAATGTCTGCTTTTTGTGCATTTCAAGAAACATTTATACTTGAACAACCACTGATGATCAATAACAAATTCGATAAAATAATACTAAACAATTTTTCAATATTTATTATTTTTAACATATTTAATATTTTTTTTTATTTAATATTTGTAATTTATTATAATGCGTTTGTAAATTTGATACAATACAATACACTCATTAATACAAAACAAAACATGTATTCATGCAACGCAATATTTTTAACACAAGCTGAAGTTAATAAAGAAGTTCATCGTGACAAATGGTAACCCGATCCGTCTTAATAATTGTACAATTGAAAACACAGTAGTAGTTGCTTCTAATAAGTTGCAAACCAAATCAAACTCTCAGCTATCACTCAAACAACAAATAATAATCTACCTAGACAAACATTTAAATCTGAAACTAACCTGTCTTGTTAATAGCATTGATGTTATTAATTAGTTTTGCAATATTAAAAATATTATTTGCCGTGACAAATGTATTTGAAGAAGATAACATCAGCAAAAAAAAAAAAGGAAAAAACATATCAAGATGAACCTCAAAACAGGCAGTTCATCAAAGAACAGCAACACAGCAGAAAATAACATCAATAACATCAAAATGCTCTGCTGTGAAACTCAAGAACCTATCTAACTATTTTTTTTAAACTTGTTATTGTAAGAAATGTTGTCACTGGTATTGTCATCTTTATCATCATCGTCTTCATCAGCATCATCATCATCGTCGTCGTCGTCACTTGAATTTCATCTTCATCATCGTCATCATCACGATATTGAAATTTGCTCATCACCACTACCATCATCGCGATGTCGCATCGTTCGAACCACCACAATAAATTGAAAAGGGTGGTGGTGGTGAATTGAGGGAAAAATAACTACGGTGTCAAAAGAAGTAAACAAACGTTAAAAAAACAAAGAATATGAAAAACTCCCAAGAACAAAAAGCCAAAAAAACAAAGCGATAGCAAATGCAACAACAACTGTTTCTGAATAACACAACAACAACAACAACATGAATGGTGCCAAATCATTTCAAATAATGACCACCGCCAAAGGACTACTCCACCAGGCCGCACCGACCAATCACGTGTCAGTCACGTGTCAAAATGTCAGAGGAGTCCCCATCGGACAGAATGGGATCACGTGCTCGTCAGCGAGTGGAGGTGTGAAGGAACACCGCCCACGCAATAAAGGTCAAGTTGCCGCAAAGAACAATTTCGCAGGAGTGAAAAACATTGACGACGATGATGAGGATGTAGATGATAATGATATAATAGTAAATGGTTGTGAGGAAAGGAATAATAATATTGAAAGAAGTTTCATAGATGATGATGGCAAATACAAAATCAACATCGATGATGGTGATAACAATGATGACAAAGATTATAGTGATGATGGTAATGATGGTAATGATGGTGATGATGGTGATGATGGTCATGACATAGATGATGGTGATGATGGTGATGATGGTGATGATGGTCATGAATGACAAGATGATGGTGATGATGGTGATGATGGTGATGACGTTTCAGAAAGGCTACCTGGAGGTGCTCATCAAAAGATCGAAAATACTTCTATCGTTACAGAGGCAATCAGAAATAAAGTTTTTGAAATCCCTAACGATGAAAATAATGAGAATATTATCATTCAAGAAAACAAAAATGAAATTGAAGACAGCTGTGATGATTGTTCCTTAAACCTTGCAGCAGCTTGTCGCTGCAACCGTTCACAGATTCATGAGAGTTACAAAAATGTTGCCGAGACAAAATTTATCAAGTCTATCCGCTACAAGACAAACATTTTTAATGGCAACTACAATAAAAATCGCCTACACGCAAATGGTTGCGCAGCGAGGCACGATGATGATGATCATACGGCTGAATTTTCCAGTGGTGCTAGCCGGATGAATAAAACGTCATCATTCCAACTATCAATTACACCACCCCAATTATCATCATCATCACCGTCACCACCATCATCATCATCGTCAACTACATCATCCTCAGGCTCATCATCACCGTCATCATCATCATTGAGAAATCTCATTAAAGCAGTTGACGTTGATGAAGTTATCAAATCCGACAGCAACTATTTTCCTGATCTGCTCGGTGTTGCCAACGACAAAACTGGTGGAAAGATCATTAATAACCATAATGACAACGACTTCAAACTCATTAACAACAGCAACATCAACAACATCAATGACATCAGCAACAACAACAGCAACGCAAACAACAACACCGAAAACAGCAGCAACAAAAAAGACCACGACAAACTGGGCAATAAAAAGTGTTTCAACGTTTCTAACGTTAACGAAACATTACCGACTGACTGTCCACCAAACAATATGACCACTAAAATTATAAATAGAAATTTTACGACTCCCTTAGCCTGGTCAGTCTGTCAGCAATTTAAAGGAGGAACACAGCAGCCCGTGGGTGGTCAACTGTCGCAACGCAGACCTAACAAGCCGCAACCGAAATTACATTGCTCAGCTTGGTGGCAGACACTGGCCACACAACTCAGAAAAGGTGTTCAACTGACTACAAACAATAAAAGGCAACAATGTATTCAACAATTCCGAACAGAAATATTCATCAGACAGTCACTAAAAAATAGTTTTTACCGAAAAAATTTCCAATCAAAAAACAAATTTTGGAATAAAATGACAGATTTTAATTCAACAGAACTACTCAGTGGTAGGCAATTTAGAACTCTCCGGCAAATAATGTTAAGTGGCAACCTTCGAACGAGAGGAGAGGTGTTCGATCATTCAGCGTGTTTCCTCATCCATCTCCATCAGCATTATCATCCTGCTAATCAACGTTCTCATTCAAGTCATCATCGTTGCCATCATCCTCATCATCATCTACTTCATCTCAGACTTCAGTATGTTAATAAGCATGCACATCCACCTTTATTTTTCAAATTTACAGTGCTAACATTTTCATTTCAAAACCTGAAAAAACAGTTTGAAAAAAGTTTCAGACACGGTGGAAAAGTTTTTCTTTTATTGTTACGGCATCATTTAAAACAGAACTGTGCGCAGGTTTGTCATCATTATCAACCAAAAAATCACCACCAACAACAACAACAACTCCATCACAAAAAATTGGACAAAAACCACCTCCCTCAAAACTTGAAAAGAATTGCAACATGTGGAACGTACGATGAAGGAGTTTATAATTGTGGTAGCAGTAGAATCTCGTCAACCTCAACACTCTCCCAACAAACGGATGGCAGACGAAAACAATTTTCGCACAATCATCATCACCATCACCGTTGTCGTCACCATGAACATTCTTACAAGCATCATCATCCTCATCATCATACAGCTCATCAACGTAAACAAATTCCTCATCAGAGTCTTCAACAGCCTCACCATCATCAGTCTATACTGCAGATACATTCTTTCCAACAATGGCGATATTTTATTTCGTGTAAGCCAAAAAACCGCCAAAATTCTAAAGAGAAGTTGCAAACATCTAGACAAAAATTAAACATATCAATAGAAAAGTTAGACATATCTGAGCAAAAATTAAACATATCTGAGCAAACGATGAACATACCTGAGCAGAGTTTGTTGCAGAGGATAAATAACTGCATCGGTCGTGCATCAGTAACGCTGGGAAGGACGCCATATCCATCAGTGATTAAACCACAATAACATCATGCTGCTCGCTATCATCATTTTCATCATCATCATCTTCATCCTCTTCCTTATCAT